GACTAAGTGAGAGAGAAAGAGTCTGGAGGGAAAAAAAAGAGACAAGAAAGAATGAGAGCGGTAGAAAGAGAGCTTATTTGCTAGGCATTGATGGTGTAACCCTGTTAGTGCACACACTGACTGGACAAATGTATTGTTTGACAGTCATTGTGGGATGACTGACAGTGAGTGGCAGCGGGGTATGCATGCATGTGTGTGTGCTGATGGGGAGGGGGTTTTGTCATGGGAGGTTGGCCCGTTCAGGAATTCCACAGAGGAATCACCTCCTTGGCCTGTCCATGTCGCAGCAACCAATTACCGTGACAGTGAGTGTGTGTGTGTCTGGGGGGTGCTAAACGGGAGGTCTTGCCATAAAATGGAGGGGACTTCTCCTAATCATCGCACTCTGGCCCTGTACAAAGGCAAAAGGGCTGCTTGGACAATTTGAATTTGAATAGCATCCCTCCTCCAGCTCTCCTTTTTTGTGTCTCTTCCTCCTCTGCCTCAGCTTCAAGTTAGATGACAAAAGCGGAGCCAACAAAGATAGCACACAAAGCAATCAGGCTAATAGCACTAATAACTTGAGCACAAGGTCCTTGCTCTTAGTGTTGACACATTTCACTGTTTCTGTGGCTAAACAGAGGCTCGAGTGTTTGGCAACCAGACGGCATAGTATTTTAATGGAGTGGCTGCTCCATGCCTGGTTGCCATGAGCTTGGCCTGTTTGACTGTAGAAGAACGCAACAAAAGTAACTCGCAGAAGAGGTGGGGAGAAGATAATTAACTGGTGGAGAAGGGTGAAGGGAAGGATTATTGGGGAAGGAGTCATCAGGGGGTTTGATTTTTTTTTTTTTGCCTGAAAACAAAACCTTGCTGTTATCGTGTTTCATAAAATAAATTCTAGCATGAGGAAAAACCATTTTGTTTTGTGCTCAAAACAAAGTGCAGGAACTCAAGCTAACAGGAAGGTATTACGACAAAAAGCTTTTGGTAACATTTCGATGATTGTTCCGTCTGTAACACTCATACCTCCAAGGTTATCAAAACATATCTTTTAGCTCCCCCGGGTTTTGGTTCAGTTATCTTTCAGCTGTCACCTGATGGGGTCATGCTAACAAAGAGGAGTATGCTAAAAAGCTCAAAGTAGTCATGGCAAGATCCAAGCTAAATCCTTCACCTGTCTGCTCCTTGTGACCCAAGGTCTTAGCCTGTGAAACGACTACACATTCCTCTCTTTCAGTAATAGTCTTTCTTCCCCTTTCCTCCGTCAGTCCTCCTCTTTTTCCTTTCTTTTAAGAAGACTGCTTGTTTGAACAAAGAAATATTTTAAGAGGCTTGTAACTCTGGAGCTGTGTGTTTTTATGTGTGCATGTTGAGTGCATGTGTATTGGATGCGGCCATAGGGACGAATGCTTCAGTGCCCTCCCCTGTTATTAGGTCTGCCCTGTCATTACAGGATTAGAGTGTAGGGGTTGGTTTTGTATGTATGTGTGTGTGTGTATGTGTGTGTACACAAGTATTTGCCTACACAGGATCCAACCAAGCCTGTTTGTATTCCTGCTATTTTTCTCACACAATCAGAGCACACAAAGAAAACAAATGTCACTGTCATTTTCCTCCGTGTTTGTTATGCTAATCCCAGGTGCTTTTGCCCTCTCTATTATAAATAACACTTTACTAAAGCAATCTTCAGATTACTCAAACAGTGACATGCTAATTAAATAGCCATCATATGCAGTAGGAGATTGAAAAACATTCCCCTGTACACTGCACACCACATCCGTCACAGCACATTGTGCAAATGCAAGCACAGATATGGAGATTGGCATGAAAAAAAAAGGAGAGGGATGAGAAAGAGAAACAGGACAAACTACAAGTGGTCAGGTATAGTTCTCTCTTCTCTCCACTATGAAAGCAAGTAGGGGATAAATCAAGAGGAAAAAGAAACAAAACTGATTTACAGCATTTCACAGAGATGATGACAAAGAGATTGAAAATGAATGTGAAAAAAGTGAGAGTGCCTGCGAGAAGGTAGATTAAACAACCTTGTTGTGCATCTGTGTGTGCTGATTCAGTGATACCTCCCACATCTGCACGCTTCACTCAGTCTCTGTGTGTCTGTTTTACGGCAGAACATTTGCATGTTCATTTGCCTGATTTGCTCAGTTGGTTGTTTTGTCCAGTCCAACTTAGAATCTTTCTTTTTCCCATTTACACTTCCAGGAATTGAAAATGAAATGAAACATAGAGTAAAAAGGAGAGTATTTAAGGTGTGCTGTGGAGGCTCTCCGGCCTCATCCCTTTGGTTTTCCTTCCATCTATTTTTCTTCTTTCTGTTAATCGGGCCCAATAGACAGGCTGCCAGCATGGTCTTTCAAGCTTTCAGAGATTGTTTGCTTATACAACTTTCTCCCTTTAATTTGTCTTACTCTGCCTTTCTCCTTTATCATCAATGTAACACAAGTCTGTTGGTTTGGCACACAAAACCAAGTGCTTTGCACATGGGCACATAGCGCTTTATTTACCGGTTTGTTTTGTTCCCATTACTGTGCGCATGTGTGTTTTGTGTGACTGTGCAGGTCTCTGAATTCACTGTACAGTCATGAATATTTCAGTGTGCTTCTGTTGCCTGATGTGTTATTCACAGACACAAACAGAGTGTGCAGAGACCAGTGAGCAGGGTGGCCACTCACACGCACGTACACACACCTGCACCTACAGAGAAGGAGTTAGGTCGGGACCGTTCAGTGCTTTTGCTCCGGCCCATTGACTCAGGATTGGTACTCCACTTCGGACACAATACAGGGCTTTACGCCAAATACACACATGCACGCAAATACAATTACCCTCCCACACAGACACACACATTCATTCACTCACACAAACACAGACCCAAAGGTTAAAGAATGCAGATGCATCGATATGGGAAGGGTTACTGCTGTACATGCAGTTCCGAATGATCGACTGTCCAAACCAATGAGTCAAAGTGCACAGGCGTGTGTGTTTTGCATATTTCTGTTTCTGCTCTCCAGCTTTTGTTCTTTCTCTCTCATCTCCGTCTCACCTCCCTCCCCCCACTTTGACTCTCCTCATATTCATTGTCATTGTGTTTCACCGTGTTGTCATTTTACAGGAAGGTCAGCTCCAATGACAAGCCATTGTACTATACACACGGCTCAGTCGTGAAAATAAACACCAGGTAGCGGAGGTATATGATTTCCATCACCCGGGCTTATCTCCCTGTGTACAGTAGTTACTGATAAAAGGTCCAAAATCACACACGGTCACAGTATGAGTAATTCCCATAACCAGTATACAATCACACAGGTTATACACTGACACACTTTCTAAGATGAAAACACTAGTATAGCCTTACTTGCTCAAGTGAAAAATGGGTCTCGTTGCATCTTGTTACAAAGAGGGCTCTGGGTAAAAGCAGTCATGATTTATTTTAAAGCATTTTTCACAACCAGGTCCATTACTATAACTATCACTATTAGATCATTTGTGACAAAAGTTGCAAGCCAGATTTCATCCTGTGCTCTTGTGAGTACATGATATTCACTTCAGTTCCCAGAGCCACTCCCAGAGAGACTGTCACAGTAAATCTTCCAGACCATTTCGCCTGAGGAGAACAAGCCAAAGCCTCATGTGAAATCTGATGTATTTGTTTTTTTTTTTTTGCACTGGAAGATATCTCCCTTTGGCTGGAGCTCTCTTGGAAGTCAGCAGCGTAATAGGAACATACACGTCAGAGACACTGTCACCCCAAGCATGTGGCGGTGGAATTGAGTGGGAATTCCCATCTAAATGCCATTTCTACAGAACTCTCATAATTCATAACTGTGTTTCTGTTTGTCACGGCTGGTGCTCCTGAACACAACAGTGACGGCAGCAGTTTCCTGTAAGCTCACCGGGCAAAACAATAACTAAATAAAAAAGTTTTTTAAAAATGCAAAGATGAAAGAGACAGAGGAAGATGGTGGTAGTACAGTAGCGCAGACTTACTCAGCTTCAGCAAGGAAGGCAAGAAAAACAGAACCTCTCAGAATGAACATGGGCAATGCAAGCTCACTTTCTGGTAGTGTCATTTTATCATCTTTTACTATCTTGTAGAACAGCACAGCGGCTGAGATAATGGTGGCCGCATACTGCGCCTTGAGCGCCAGGTAGTAAAAGTCTCTACATTTATAGTCTTCCTTCCCTGTTCTCACAAAGCGGGTGCCTTTGCCAGCAGAAAGAAGAGAGTAAAAAATGGAGAGAAGAAAAGGGATTTGCAGGAGATATCCCTGTCCACCATTTTGTGTGTTTGTCGGTACTGAGTATGTGAAGGGTGTGCCAGGCAATCGGGGTAATAGCAAGGTAAACCTAGAGAGTGTATGTTTTCAGATAGTGCCTATTGACCTCTATTCTGCTCAAGAGCTCCTCTTTTGTGACACCTAACTTTATTACCCCGTCTCCACTCAAGCCTTTTGTTGGGTTTTATGTCTTGTGTAGTTTTACAACCTGTTATTCACTGTATGTGTGTGTGTACCTTATCAAGTGTGCATGCGTCAGAGTGCCCTGTGGGAAGTGGAACTGTTTCACAGTGAGACTCGCCATTGTTTCCTGTTTACAGTCTAAAAACAAATGTCTAATTGAGACTAATTAGCCAGACAAGGAGTTGCATTAAAATGTCACACAGTACCTCACAGATCACCCACTTGGATGTCTCATTGTCCCACTGTCCTTTCTTGGTTTTGCTGTCACACGTATAGTGTACATACACACACACACACACACACACACACACACATTTGAATCTAATATCATTCCAAGCCTTCATTTGCTGTCAAAGAGTTATTCACTGTTATCTGAGAACAAGTTTTCATCAAAGCCTCTTATCTGTTCCTTGGACCATATTACAGGTTTTGTGACACTGCTGGAAAATTATTGAAAGTTATGTTGATTTCCTCTGTCACCTTGTTCCTCTTTGTCTGACGTGGTTGGTTTCTTTTTTTTTTTTTTGCTTTCATTGACAGAGACGCTGATGGACACAAGGTGGGCCACAACAGAATTAGCCTGGACTGCGCACCCTGAGACCGGGGTGAGTTTACTGAGCAGCATGTGTGTTTATGTGCTCATGTGTGTTTATAAAAAGAAAAACACAAATTTAGATCTTTTGTTTTACACATACATGAACAGTAGCTGTGACCCACCTAGTCTGTATTCATGGGCTACATTCAGTGTTGTGTATGTGTGCATTTGTGCTTCTGTTCTGGTTACCTCTTTGATGTTTAACAGTCCTGTATACCTTCGCTCAACATATCAAACAACAGGACATGTTTTAACATTCAAGAGGATGTGCTTTCTAGTGCAGAAGAAGATACATAGCAATCCAATTTCACTGACCCGCCCAGTCACAGATGTTCCTGTCCTCTTGCCTCAGTGCATTTAAAATGTACATCAGTTTCCTCATGAAATAACCTGAACAGTGAAATATTCCTTGGTGTTGACCCATTGCACATCCAGGCATCCAAATCTACCACACACAAAGTGCTAGTGACAGCCTCATCTTGTTTTCTTATGTGGTCTCCCCAATGGGGTAAAGAAGAGCAAAAGGAGTCTTGACCCCTCCTCAGCTAAACTTCAAACACTGCCAGCAGTCCTCTCCTTGTCTTTGTGTGGACTTCTGCCTTGGCCCTTGAAAGGTGGGCCCACATTTTTTAATATATGTTATTTCTACCCCAACAAACCAGCACCCCGGATTCCACCCAAGCTGTTTAAAGTTGCCCTTATTCTGCCCCTCCTTTACTCCAAGTAAGTAAGCACTAATGAAGCCAGGCATACTAACCACTTCAGCTGAAACAGTCACCCTTCCTCCTTCCCTCGCCCCTTCCGTCCATCTTCCTTTCGCCTATAATGCAGCGCTGATGCTCCCACTGGTCCCATGCAGAATGGCAAGAAGAACTGACCCCCCACCCCCCATTTCTTTCCCAAATCAACCCTCAACAGCGGCGACTCTTTTTGAGGATTCCCTCCATTGCCAACCAAAAGACTGGGGATTAATTTCTCCCACGTATTTTTTGTTTTGCAGCAGAATATGCTTGTCCCTGAGTTATCTTCTTGTTTTAGGGTTTTCTCTTCTTCTATTTTTTATCTTACAAAAGAAGTCTTCTCTGCTGTCTTGCTTCAGTCTTTATGCACAACACATTGTACGTGGTTTTATTTGTATGCTTTTGTAGTCTTGCTACAGAAACCTTGCAGCCTGCTTTTGTTAAAGGTGATGAGTGTTTAAGTGGAATATAGGTGAGGACAAACACAGCAACATACTGAACCTGCTGGGAGAGAGGGGGAGACTATGTAGAGAGTACCTGAGATTAAATAAAATCCAGAGAAATGTGCAGCATGTAAGAGGAGACAAAAATCAGTTTACATGAAAAAAATCTTATAAAATAGGCCCACACACTCTCCTAGAGATGCTGTGCAGCTAAGTCTGAGTCAAAGCATCTCTGTCTTGTTTCCCAGTGTTGCACAACACATACATATAAAGCAACAGACATAAAACTACACAGAGGGAACATAAGCTGTCTATTTTTGAAAGCGAGTCCACAGACAAGCTGGATGGACTGAACGTGGTGCAAAGGCCATTTGTTTGTGAGTAAATGCATATTTAAGTACTGATACTAAGAAGACAGTGTCTTCACATACCACAACACTAGGGTTTTGTGTGTGTATGTGTGTTCATGTATTCTTCAGCTCTGTGCCTGCACTTTGCTGGTTTCACACCCTTTCTGTCTGCATTTGTCTATATACTGTAGCTTGTAGCATCTGTATATCATGCACATCTGTCTGTATACACATGTTGACACCTGTCTCAAACTACACTTGTGTTGTTGCTTTGACTTGCAACTATCACTATGGCTTCTTCTATTGTTTGTGTGTGTTTGTCCATATATTGTGTTATTTAGAAAACTGATGGGATATCAAGGGGGAATTCCACTTTTCAGCATGGCTCTTGTCAGATTTGAAATGATACCCATAGGGTTTTCCATAAACCGCACAATAATAACAATGCACTAAGTTTGTTAGCTTGTGGAAATAATAACTATTGTCAGTGCACTGCTGTCTGCTTCACAGACCCCCAGCATGCAACAATAAAAGTTCACTAATTGCTAACATTAAGTTTGTTGAGTTACAGAATTTCAGCTAATGCCTAAAGCTAATAATACTAGTTTAGTGTCCATGATTTTGATTCCATCTAATGTTAAAGAATGGCAAAAACATCCATAACAATCTCCTAAAGAACTTCTGTAGCACAACAGACTTCCACATTGTCTATTCGTATCCATATTGTGTTCCAAAATATTGTGAAATATATTTCATCTGAATTTTGGAGCTTTGTTGAAATATATCATGTATCATTGCTCAAGGAGAGCAATGATACATGACAGAAGCATTGTTCATTGTCACTTGAAAGTAAAATTTAAAGCTTTTATTGGTAAAGATGAAGAGAAAATGGAGTGGATTGCAAATGCTGCATGACCATTCATCTTGTTGGAAATCAATGCCAGATAACTTGACCCTTTTTCACATTACATACTTAATTCATTCAGGCTTGATAAGTAGGCACTCAGTGTATTTGGCCACTGGTGCCGCTGTGTGCCTCTTGGGGATGACGTCTCTAAACACACATACACAAACAGAAATACACCTACAATGCATGCATTAATTAAGATGCTCAAACAGAGCAAGTACAGAGTAAAGCAGACAGACTCACACAAGCACATTCAGACAAACACACAATCTTATACACACACTCATAAATTCTTGGCTGTGTCGCTCTTTTGCTGTGGATGATTTATTACTCTGAACTAAATACCCATTGACACTTTATGCTTTTAGCCATCCCATTGACCTGGTCGGTAGTTATCGATTCCCTCTGGTCTGGTTGCTTCCTCCGTCTCTCTCGCTCTCGCTGGACCATCACTTTAATGCCACGGCCAAGCTACACCAATTCTCTCTCTGGCTAGCTCATGGCCTCCAGGGCCTTGAATGAATAGCCTTGTCTTCACTATATCCATATTGCAGCCTTAATTAAGATGCTCAGAGCTCAGATGAAAACAACTGGCTGTGGGGAACAAATTGGTGCCATTATGCCCAAGTTTCAAGAAAGTCAAATGTTCTGAGGCTAACTTTGGCCTCAAGAATGCAACCCTAGATACCGAATTTTGTTACAGATGTGTCTTGGCATTTGTGGGTGGCTGAGTGATGTGATGGAGCATCCTTTAATTAGAAGGTCACAGGTTCATTGTCATAAATTTAGGTTGCATGTCCAGTGACAGGCATGTCAAGGACACATTGTATAAAGTGAGCAATACACACAAAGTTTTAGCTAAAACTGAACCCAAACCTTTCTTCCTTACTTCTAGTTTAGCTTTTTTTTAATTTAATTTTCCTCCTCGATGTGTTTTACATGCTTTAATGTATTGTCATACCTTATGTAAAACACTTTGAATTCCCTTTGCATTTGAAAGCTGCTATGTAAAGACACTTCCCAGACTTTGGCTTTGCTTTATAAAAAGCAATTTGTCTGATAGGAAAGGGGAGCAGATCCCTCAGCACACACACACACACACACACACACACACACAGATATATCATACACGCCACAATTGCTATTTGAAGTGAAATGATTTAATTGTGGTGTCCTCATTCAAGACTGAAAAATGCATTAGGTTACAATGTCTCGCAGCAAAGCTTTTACAGTCTGGTTTGTTTTAGTTCAATTAATGAAGCTGGTAATCAAAGTTTAGAACATTTAATCCTATTTTATCCTGAGTAATTCACCCCCTGGGTACTATAGCAGCATGGAAAGATATAGAGGAGTGTAAAAACAGGAAAGCATGAAGGTTAACTGGTGCCTTTCCTTGTGTTTATCAGAGGACAGTGTGATCATTGCTTTGTAATTGAAGTATAATTGGTTGTGAAGCAATGTGACTCCTACTTCCAAACAGATATGAAGTAAACATGCTGTGGTGGCTTGGCTGTGAGGAGGTGACAGGTTGCAGTAATTGTGATGAATTTGCAGACTTTGTCCCTGGCTTTTCACTACATTAACCAGAGATGAAAGGCGTAGCAATGCAAAGGCAAGGGAATGT